TCCTTCACCGGCACGCCCCGGCCCCGCGAGGGCTTCTTTGGTATCGGCGGAGGGACCTTCTTCTCCTCCTGTCAGGAGAGCGCGGCCGTGAGCCCGGCGCCGGGACCACCCCCAGCACTCCGGTTCGCACCCCATACCAGCTCCCAGAGCAATGGGTACTGTGCGAACGCACGGAACGCACGGCCTGAAGTCCCAAGGTCAACCCCGCACCATCTTTCATTGAAACGCGGTCGATTCGAGCGCCCCCTGGTGGAACTGTTCTTAACGGCCTGTGTCAGAGTGCTGTTTGGGGGCTGTTTTCCCTCTAGCCCTGCAAACCGAGGCGAGGCAAGGGGGAGGGAATTCACCCATCACGGCCAGAGACCTGTCAGCAAGCCTAAAGACAAGGCATGTTCAAGGCTCTGCCCTCTGCCCAGGCCCGAGCTGAAGGTGACCTTCTAGAAAATCTAGCTCTACTCCCTCAAACTGCAGCTGGCCAAAGGTAGTTGAGGGAGCTCTGGAAGCTTAGGCAGCGATGAGTACTGAGTCCAAGCAGGTGACGGTGACCAGGAGTGTGGCCACTCTTGGAAGTGGACGGTCACCTATTATCTGTCCAGAACTTGTGCTGCACATGGGTCTCTTCCCCTCCACACCTCTGCCCCCAACATATCTCTCTGAGGAAGGGCATTTTCCAGAGTGTGGCCTCCAGGACTGAAGGGACCACTTCCCACATATACACCTTAGGCTCCAGGAGTTTCCAGCTGTTGGCCTTGAGTTGCTGTAGCTCCAGGAACTTGAGGGTCACATCCTCAATAGACAGCTGAAGGAGGTCCCAGAAACCCGCCAGGTCCTGGAAGGTTGGCACGGGGAACGCAGTGGGGTCCTGAGGCAATGGGAGACATAGGGGGGTGACTCCATCAAGGAGGTCTGAGCCCAGCCAGAACCACAAAAGCCCTATACGAAGCTTGACCTGGGAGAATGGGGTGGGGGTGGAAGACAGGGGACAAAACGAGACTGGGCCTCTTATTCTCAGGCACAAACATCCAGACCCACCATCAAGCACAATACCCAAAATGACCCCTGGAGGATCACAGACCTAGTCTCACCCCCCCAGCCACACTGGGCTACCTGTCCGGTGCATACACTCTTATGGGCACTCACCATGCTTTGCTGACACAGCCGGAAGAACTGCTGGACCTTCTGGGACAGGAGAAGTTGTGTGCTGCCCACAGCACTGCGGATCTTCTCCAGGACTGGAGAACAGAAGGAAATTCAAGGAGAAGAATGAGGCATCTTCTTCTCCAGCCTATAGGAAGTCCACCCTGATAACTTTCACCTCTTGGTTATTTACACTGTTTATCCATCTGTCTCCTTCAGTCCCTTCTCTACCCCATCCTCAAGTTCTTGACAAGCAGCTCTGTCCCATCTCACCAGCACTGGATGCTCAGGCCCTGATGTTCCTTCCTTCCTAAACTACGTTTATTGAGCACTTATCTTCTTGTATCATCCCTCCCAGATGGTAACCAGCCCCAGCCTAGCCCTACAGCCCTGGCCAGGGCATCAGCTCAATGACTGAACCAATTAGCTGAACTGTGTCACTCATCAGAGGATGCCTCCTTGGCTCACCAAGAATAACTAAGTAACTGCAAGAAGATGACAGCAGTCATTATCCTGCCAACCTGGGGATTCTGCCGTAAGGGTGTGTTTCCCCCAGACTGGACTTGTGGGGAAAGGGCTTTGCCCTCCTTCAGGCCAGGGCCATGTCCACTTCACTGAGCCTCTTCATCTGTGCCTCATAAAGGATCTGACTTGAACTGTCTCCCCACTGCCTTAGGGTCTGGGTCACCATCTGTTTCAGACTAGATCCCTGTACCAGTATATATCTGAAGAGTGCCCTATGTCCCCTTGGTCCTGGTAGCCATCTCCTAGAGATCCAGCCCTTGGTGTCTCCAGTCCTAGCCCTGCCTCCTGCATGTTCTACTACCATGGTGGAGTCCTCAAGCTCCCATGTGGAAGGACGGATGAGGAAGGCAAAGCCATGCCCAACTAGTGGGGCTTCCTGTTTCCCTGCAGCCCCGGCACTGGCCACCATCCCTTGAGCACACAGGGAGCCAGTACCCCGTGCCCGCCAACTCACTCTCCTCTGGCAGCTCATAGTCCTCCGCCTCGCGCTCCATCTGCTGGCACCAGTGCTCCAGCTTCTCCACCTCTGCCCGCAGCATCTTGATGAACCACTCGCCATCCCGTGGGCAGGGGGATGTGCGGCCTGAGTCAGGGAGGCTACGCGAACCACGCTCCATCCAGGAGTCGCGGCGGCCAGACCCAGGGCCAGGGGCTGGGGCGGGGGCCGGGCCTGGTGACCCATCGGTGGCCGGTGGCTCATACGGCAGTGGGTAGCCCTCACGGTAGGCCCACTGGCCCTGCGTGTGGACCGTGCGGAAGACTGAGTAGGTGGGGGCCCGGGGTCCGGGCTGGGGCTCAGAGGCGTGCCTCTGGAAGGAGCGTCCGAACTGTAGGGCCTTGTCTTCTGTGGCCACTGTGGCCAGGCCGGCCAGGCCTTCAAGCTCCAGGTCTGCCTGCACACCGGCCGTCACACTGTTGGAGCGCTTGAACCTCGCCCGTCTGTGGAAACAGGCACTTGTCCTTTCTGCCCAGTCTCATCCCAGCCCTTAACCCCACCCCAAGCAAAAGGGGAAGGGCATGAATGAGGAAAAGAACCTATACAGAAATGGGCATTCATTTACACACCTGAAACAGATCAATCCTTGCAACTGGGAGTCACCTAGCAACCTTTTCATGGCGCCAATAGATAAGGGTGAAGGTTACAATATCTAACAATCACTGCTCCATGGCCAGGACAGATCCTGGTAGACACCAATCAAAGCCTACCGTGATCAAAGTATCAAAGTCACACCCTGTCAAAGCTGGACTGTGGGGCAGACCAGAAGGGCCCAGGGAGGGTCCAGGGTGATAGCAGCTCCTTATCGATGAATGCAAAGGTATTTCAGTATTCTATCAAATGGTATGTCTATGCTAGTTTATACCAGATGTACAGTGTATCATCAGCCCTACAGAGAGACGAGGCAACTTAAAGCCCAGAAAGGCCCATGCTTATCCAGCTAAGGAGTACAGAGCCAGGATTTGGACTCAAGCTGCTGAGCTCCACTGTCAAACACTCTGCACCACATCAGCTATTAGAACATCACAGCAAGAGATGGTGGGAGTGGCTGGGGATGAAGTATGCCTGCAGCTGGGAGGACTTCTCCCCCAGAGACCCTGACAGCGCAGCCCAGAGCCTGGCCAGACACAGTGTGCCAGTGCCAGTGGAGCTGAATTAAGTTGTTGGCAGGAATGACACAGGGCCTGGAGACTTCTTGTCTTTGAGTTAATAACATGCAAATCCTATGCAAACGTCAACTGGCCTTGTTTATTTTTTCCCCCAGAGTTCAGAGTAGAGGCTCTTTTCTACAAAGAAGTCAGTGGCTCCCTAAACTGCATGAGGTTAGGGCCAGAGAATACTTTAAAAAGTGAAAGTCAGGGTGCATTTGGAGGTTCAAGGCCTAGGAATTCAATGACCTCTAAAGAAAGGCCCGTGGGTCCTGAGTTCTGTCCACTTCTACCTAGTTAGAAGAAGAGAGGCTTGTGCAGCCAGCTTCAGGAGCCTGTCCAGCTTTCCAGGAGACTCCTAGCCCCTGCAACTTTAGCCTTCCTCATGCTGCCCAGGCCTTCTCTCCTTGCTGCCTGCCTGCTTCCCTCCAACTGGCGGGCTGCCTGCTGGGAGCCTGTTGCCATAGAAACCAGGCCCAGAAGGATGCTGCAGGACCCAGGAAAGAGATGCACTCATGTGTAGTCTCCACAGAGCCCTATGTCCCCACCCCCACCTCTGTAAGGAGAGAAACTATGTCTTTTTTCCCCTCTGCCTGGTCTTCACCTTGGTGTCTGCCCTGATCAGACTGGCACCGTCATTTGCCTCAACTACAGGACTGGCCTCCTTTCAGATACCTCTGCATCCACTCAGTATGTGCAGAGGAAGAGCACTGGGCCAGGAGGCAAACCTGAGTCCTGGTGCTGGCTTTGCCACTGTGTGCCTTTGGGAAGTCTTCCCCTAGGCCAGCTAATATGTGTATATTTAAAATACATAATTACATGCAAGTACATACACATATATTATACACATTTAAAATTATAGGAATGAACCAGTAATTGCCAAGGTCATGCCTCTCTAAAATTGCACCTAGCATATTTTAATTTTGGGGGCCCGTCAATCTCTCCCTGATCTACCCAAGTCTGGAGCAGTCTTCCTAAAGCTGAACTGTGCCAAGTCATTCCCCTGCTCAAAACTTTTCCATAGCTCTCCATTGTCATAAGATCAAACTCCACTGCCGTAAGATAAAGTTCCAGCATTTATTGGTGGCTATTACACTCTGGATGTGGTCCTCATCTTCAAGCTCATCTCCCCCACATTCTCCTGGTCCCCCAAACAGATAATATGTGACCCTGACTCTAAGCCTTTGCACATCCTATTTCCTTGCTTGAAATGGCCTTCCTTCTCCTCCCTGCCCATCTCCTGCCCAAACCCCTCTTCCTCTGTGGCTCCTCTGACTGTCCATAGGACCCCTCCTCAGCTGCACACCCCCTCAGCAGTCCTCTTGTACCCAGAGGTATCCCACTATTTGGTTTCACTGTTGTCTCTTTCTGGTGAGAGACTTGTATGTCTACCTGTATCCCATCACGATGCACCCTGGCTCCCCACAAATATTTTTGTCTTTTGGAGCTCTAGTTAGCCTTTGACTCTTTCAGAGCTTCATCAGTTGCAAATCATGGAGATAAAGTAGGATTTGCCCCAGTAAATACATTCCTAAAGAGCCACCATCCTTGCTGCTTCCCTGCACATGGACTTGTCCTTGGCCACCACTGGGTTTGCTGCCTCTCACCACGTCCTCCGAGAAGGCCCGAGAGAATCACTCCATCTTGATGGAAGTCATAGTATGGAACAGAAGCACAAAGTGTCCCAGGCTTCATGGCTCTCAAATCCCTTCCTCAAAAGCTCTCTCACTGCGTGTGCTTCAGGGAAACCTGAATGAGCTGAGGAGCTTAAGGGATTAGTGGAAGCACCGTCCTCACCAACACTCCCAGCCAACGGCCAGAGACTCATACAGCACAACTGGGAGCCAGTCATCCTTGTACAAGTGGCATTTAAAACTAGCAGTGAGGGACAAGATCACCCAAGAAAAGAGCAATGGCTTAAAGATCCAAAGTCCTGGGGAACACGGACACTTCACAGGTAAGGGAAGACAGTGCAGCCCACAGAGGAGAGGCAGAAGCCAGAGAGGATAAGGAAGAAAACCAGAAGACCCTACAGGCTGAAGGGGAGAGGAAGGTCTCAAGAAGGAGCAAGCAGCCAACACACAAAATGAAGAATGAAAGGTATCCACTGATTGGACAGTACAGGAGCCACTGGTAATCAGGGCAGGAGCAGGCTTGGTGGGATGGGGTGGGGGGCACAGATACAGACTGCAGCTGGCTGGCAGGAAGTGGGAAAAAGTGGGCGACACAACTCTTTCAAAGAGCTCGCAAAGAAACAAGGAAGGGCAAGGAGATGTGTCTCAGAAGAAGTGGTTTAGGATGGTTCTTGCTTGCCATATCCCGAGGGAAAAGAACCAACATCCATGTCCCAGTCCCTTGTCTGTGTGAAGCTTTTACCTTTCACTGCCAAAAGAGACTATAAGATGTGATTAAGCTGAGGATCCTGAGATAAGGTGAACAGCCTGGATTTCTCAGGTGTGTGCAGGAACAGGAAACTAGTACAACCTATAAAGAGAAGTCAACTGAAGACAGAGAAGAGAGAAGCAATAGTCAAAGAAACCAGGGACAAGGGAGGTACAAAACACTACCTTCTGGGTACTTAGTATGTGCCAAATGCAGCACTTTACATGCGCAAACATGCTCTGTCCTCAGGACCAGTCCCATGATAAAGGTGTCAGTATCATTCCTACTTACAGAGCAGTGATGTCTAGAGAGATTGTGTGGGTTCCTAAGATGAGAAAATGATCAAATTATCTCAGAGGTTACCTCTGCAGCCACTCAAGGGCTAGTGGAGGAGGCAGAGGAAAGCTACACATGGGGAGCTGATCTGAAAGTGGACCAAGGTCCCACCAGATGACCTCCACGGTCACGGTGAGGGGCTGTGCAGGTGATCTGCTAAAGACTTGTGGGGGTCGGAGGAAGGAAGGGGAATGAGCCGCTTTAGGGGAGCCAGACTGCCTGCACTCAAAACCTAGCTCTGCGGCTGGTGCTTCGTTTCTTCCTCTGTAAGTGAGAATAATAGTACCAGCTTGGGAGATAATATATGTACAGAACTTGGGACAGCACCTGCCTGCCCATTGTGTTAGCTATTATGGAGAAGGAGGAAAGTTGGTGGCTCTCACTGTGAGGAAAGGGAGCTGGACAAACACAATAGTCCAAATGCAGCTCTGAGAACCTCACTAGGGCATTGTAGTTATTAATTATTGTGATTGCTGTTGATCATTTCCATCTGTTCTCCCACAGCACTCTGAACAAAACCTCTTTTATTCTCTATATCACATTGTATTGTGGTGAGTTATTTGCATATCTGTCTCTCTCACTAAATAGGGCAGTTCCTCAAACATAAATGTTGGCTGGGTGGTGGATTGGTTGTTTGGCTGGAAGGAAGGGTGGTAGAGACCGCTAATTATCCCTCAATATCCATTCTCCCTTTCGTCCTCAGTAACAGAATCCCATAATTTTAAGCTGGACACATGGCCACTTTGGACAGATTCTTTCCTCCGTCTCTCTTACAACTAGGTATAGCCATGTGGCTAAGTTCCAGCCTATCGGATATAAGCAGAAGTGGTATGTATGTCGTCTAGAAAGTGTTCATGAAAAGAATGTGTCAGGCTGGGGGTTTGGCTCAATGGTACAGTGCTCACGTGACATGGGTTTGACATCTAGCACCTTAAAAAAAGTATTAATGAAAGAAAGAATGTGCCCTATTTTGTCCCTTCCTCCTTCCTAATAAACCAGAACAGAGACATGAGGGCTACACCTCAAGAAGCCATCTAAGAACATGAGATTGCAGACAGGGTCAAAGGTAGAGAAGCAATAAGAGAAAGACTGGGTCCTGACACTGTAGAACACCTACCAGCCCTCTGGACTTCTAAGCAAGAAGGAAGTAAACTTCAGTCATGTTTAACTCACTATTTGTTTGAAGGTTTTCTGTAACTCACAGCCAACTCTAACCCTAGCAATAACAGATGAATTTTCAGAGTAGTAAAGTATAGGCCCCATGTCCCCATTTCATTCTGGATTTGGCAGCAGTTGCTGTGCACTTCACCAACAGCTGTAAACACAGGATAGCAACTGGCTTCCACTGTGAATTATCACCAACACATAACAATGCATTCACAATATTTTCTCCCAAGCCTTTTAACTAGGCGGCCCAGGCCTCCTCCCCTCCAATCCTGCCAAGTGACAATGACTACATTCCTGGTGATTGTGGAAGTCATTATCCTGGTAGCTTTTGGGGAGCTGTTCCTTCAGCGAATCTCTAGGGGATAACATAAAAGCCTCTGAGAAGAAACTGGATCATCCCGAGGGACACA